GCTGATCACCAGGTTCAGGTGTTTTATATCTATTGGGAGTCCGCCGTTCCCTGATGCCAGCTGCAACCAATTATTATTTTAAAGAGACAGTTTAACAACCACACGACTGTCACCTGATGGTTACGGGGGGGGTTCTCTTGCCCTGCTCATGTCTGCCTCGCTACCTACTAAAAAAGACACACAATCACATTTTAATGCTAGCTTAACCGCAATTGTATTATTCTCCGTTTACCATTGGCTTATACTAAACCCAGCCTCTTTTCTTCTGTTTCAATGGAAGGGAAGTTTCCTGACTTATTTATCATCACTGCCCACTATTCAAACCAAATATTAACTTCTAAACTTTTTTAAAAAAAAAAATGATCTCATATTTATATAGACATGCCCTGACAATGGCATGATGAGAAAAAAAAAAAGTTGTTTTGGAATATGCAGTAACACGAGAGTGTAGAAAATATTTTGTTATCTACATGATTGAATTTATAATCTCTGATATTGTTTATGATTATAGACAATGGAGAAAACAATGAGAATCTATCCTCTCAGTAGGTACTAAAATTGTCCATTTATTGATAATCTTTTTATATGTTATACAATTCCTTTATAATATAGCTGTTATAAACTGTGTTGCTCTGCAAACATCTTCAGCATGAAAATGTTTGACTCTCACGGCAGCCAAAGTAATGGCCTTTTTCTCTTTCTGGGTTCAACCAGTTGCCTCTGAAAACTCTCTCTCTCTCTCTCTTTCTTTTTTTTTGAGACACAGTCTTTCTCTGTTGCTCAGACTGGAGTGCAGTGGTGCAATCACGGCTCACTGCAGTCTCCACCTGCTGGGCTCAAGTGATCCTCCCACATCAGCCTCCTGAGTAGCTGAGACCACAGGTGTGCACCACTATGCTTGGCTAATTTTTTTTTTTTTTTAAACATATGTAGGGACATGGCCCTGCCATGTTGCCCATGTTGGTCACAAATTCCTGAGCTCAAGCGATCTTCCTGCTTTGGCCTCTCAAAGTGCTGGGAATGCAGGCGTGAACCAGTGTATCCAGACTGAAAACTATTTCTGTGTTTGACTTTCTTTAAGATCAGACCTCAGATTCAGAATTAAACAGAATCAAGCAAACAAACAAGAAAAGCCTTACTGATTAATGGGGTGCCCTTTCTTTCCAAACTTGTTTGAACCCACAATTACTCATCTTGCTTTAGTGGCTCATGGAATAAGAAAGGCAGAAAAAAGAGATGACAGTAAAAAATTACAGATAGTTCATATGCTTCTAATTCTTCCAAATTGGTCAATTTTGTTACATTTTCCCCATTTGTCAGGCCTATATTTTAGGAAGTCCAGTAAAGACACAACCCATCGTTGTTAGGGTCATTTATAAGTATTAGGTTTGTTTATTCACACATATGAAGAAAAATTGTTCAAATGAAAGTGTTTAGGAAATGTTTTATATTTTTTTCAGGTACGTAATGTATTCTTACACTAAACCTGATAAAATTACTCAGGGTTTTTTTGGTAATAAAAAGCTATTTAAGGTCTCTTTATAATATTTGGAATAAACTTGTTTTTTTACTAGTAAGAAGAAAATTTAGTTTGCAAGTCATATTGTAAAGGAAGTGTATATAGAAATTATTTATTCATCCACTAGCAAAAAAAAAATAAAAAAAAATCATACAAGAGATAGACAAGATGTGGAAACATAAGGTTAAAAAAAACTTAAAAAAAACAAGAATGGTCTAATAGCTGACAATTATAAATTATAAACTGTGTTGCTCTCCAAACATCTTCAGGAAAATGTTTGACTCTCACTGCAGCCAAAGTAATGGCCATTTTCTCTTTCTGGGTTCAACCAGCTGTCTGAAAACTCTCTCTCTCTCTCTCTCTCTTCTTTCTTTTTCTTTTTTGAGACACAGTCTTTGTGCAGAAACTAGGCTCCAATAATCATATATCTTGCCCTTAGATCCTATAGGCATGAGATACAAAGCCAGTTAGGAAGATAGGAGCTTCCTCCACATGAAATATTATAGATATGATATAATATCTGACTAGAACTCCAGGAGCTCTCATTTACAAGACATTTATATATTAGATGACTTTTTGCTAAATTTTTTCAAAACATTAATGAAGATTGCCAATGCCCTTTACTTATGATAAAAACATACCACATACAAAACCTGACAAGACATGCTAGATCTACAGTCCAGAAATTAGAAGCACATTATAATTCATCAGAGAACATTTATACTTGACCTCAGTAGGAGGGACCAAATTAAGTACCACTTAATACCAACACCTCCTTAAGTGTCAGAGTTTTAGTTTTGGATCCATGCTTTCCACTGCAGTGAAATGAATATGCAAATGCTAAGGATATATGATAGAAAATTCTCTGTCAAAAAAGAAGAGAGTCTATCAGAATATAACCAGTTTTTGCATCTTTTGTCTTAGTGGCTGCGGTCATTGCAACTGGTAGACGCTTCTTCCATGACAGAGACATTGTCATCATATTCTTTCTATGATTATATATGTATAAAGATCACATTATTGTATATTAAAAATCATGCTTATTACTATTGGTTTTGGTACCACGCCTACTCTAGAATAAGTAAACCGCCCAACCCTTGGGCATTAAGCCAGCAACTATTCTATATGGAAGGATATAGTATCTGTAATGAACCTGGCTGCATTTAAATTAACCCTGTCAAAGAATACAGTGCACTCAAGTTTCAATAGTGTATGCTTTTTAAAAGAAGAACCCACTACAGAAGAATCAACAAAATGACTCTTCTGGATCATGCTTTTACTACAAATTATAGAGCCCCGTCCATGGTGTCAGGCACAACCCAAAGAAATTTCTGATTGGGAATAATACTGGTGAACAACTTTTCCAATGTATAGAGCCTATCAAAAAATCAGGGAGCTAAAATGTTTATGTAAAATCTTAAAAATGTATTAATAGAAACTGCCAATTGTCAAAATGCAACAAAAAATAGTGGCTATTCAAGCTATGTTTCACAGATCACATGGCTCTAGGTTACTCTAGCTATTAAAGGAGGGTATACCCTCATTTGAAAGAAAGCTGCACACATATTCTAGATGAGTTAAGAGTGTATCCATGACCTGGCTAACTACAACATAATTCATTTTGGTAATTGAGCTCTGAGGTCTGCTAGGAAACTGGGAAGAAAGTTTATACGAGACACACAGATAATTCCATTTGTGCAAGTAGTGCTAATAAAATGTGGCTTCCTTGCACTATTAAATACCCCAAATCTTGCTTCATCTAGACGGCATACTACTTATTCTTCTTCTGCAGGCTGGGGTGCAGTCATGCAGTCATCGTTCACTACAGCCTTAAACTACTGGCCTCAAGTGATCCTCCTGCCTCAGCCTCCCAAGTAGCTGAGATTACAGGCATGAACAACCACTGCCAGCTAAGATGACATTAAAATCTTTAAATGCATCTAGAAATAAAACGTAGGATTTATGACAAAGGTAACAATGCAGTAATGTGAAGAAAGGATGTTAATCTTTTTTCACAAAATGATGTAAATGGTGCTATTCGAATTGCATATCCACACAGGAAAAGAATATCGGGCCCACCGATACCTTACAGCATATACAAAACTAAATTTCAGTCAATTGCAGATCTAAATATAAAATCTAAAACTAACAATCTTAGAAGAAAATATAAAAGAATGCATCAATCACCATGGAGTAGGCAAAGATTTACTAAACAGAACACAAAAAGCATTAGCAACCAAATTTTAAAACTGGAAAAATTGACCTATATTAAAATTCATGCTTGGTGTCAAAAATCACCATTAAGAAAGGGAAATATCAATCAATAGAAAAGGATGATATTCATTACAAATATTATCTAACAAAGGACTTATACCCAGAATATATTTTTGATAAAACTCAAAAATTAATGTGAAAAAGACACACAAGTAGAAAAATGAGCAAAAAAAATCTGAGGAGCCATTTACAAAAGAGGATACAGTATGGCTAATAAGCATATAAAGTGCTCAACTTTACTACTCATCAGTGCAATGCAAATACAACCACAGTGTAATAATTCTACCGCTACAAAAGAATGGCTAAAATAGAAACAATGGGGAAATAGCAAATGTTGTTGAGAATGTGGAGCAACCGCTCTGAAAAAGTGGCAGTATTTATAAAAGTTGAACATCATTATATTCACTGGCCCAGGAATTCTAGTCCTAGATAAATACGCATTTGTTCCAACTAAAGACATGTCTAGAATGTTTAACTACCCTAAGGGTACTATTCCCAAACTGGAAATGACAAAATGGTCAGTAATAGTAGAATTGATTTAAAAAAAAAAAAAAAAAGGGACATATTTAGGCAATACAATATCAAACAAGGAAGACTATAAAGAACCGTCAGCTATACACGAGGTGGCTGAAACTTACAAAGAGTGAGTGAAAAAAACCTGACACAAAAATAATACATGCACTATGATTCCATTTATATAAAGTCTGTCAGAAGTCTAGGTAATCGTTATTTTGGGGACGTTGGAAGAGGGTACTGGAAGGGGACAGGAGGGGGGGGTTCTGGGATACAATGTTCTTTATTTCCTCTAAGTTCCTGTTATATGGGTTTCTCCAGTTTGTGAAAAATTATTCAGATATACCCAAATCAAAAAGTTAAAACTTAAACAAATAAAAATAATAATTGCAATGGATCACTTTATTTAAAACCAAGGAGGTCACAATGAACTCCTGTCTCCCCACCCCCTAACCCCTGCGCACGCAGACGCACAATGAAGTGAAACCTCATTGGCTGGGATCAGTGACGCACTTCTGAAAGCCGCAGCTTAGCACCATCTTTTCCATCTCCTGCTTGTCTGCCTTCCCGCCATCTGGCCTCCACGAGATTCAGCCCGGTGGTGTTAGCCCCCTGGGCTTGATTCCTTAGGCAAACAGTGTCCCTTAAGGTCGGCAACAGCCTCTTCTGGGTTCACTGCAGTCCAACCGGCTCCCTACCCGCCGCCATTATGAACATCCGCAACGCTCGGCCAGACGACCTGATGAATATGCAGCACTGCAACCTCCTTTGCCTTCCTGAGAACTACCAGATGAAATACTATTTATATCATGGCCTTTCCTGGCCCCAGCTTTCTTACATCGCTGAGGATGAGGGCGGGAAGATAGTGGGCTATGTCCTAGCCAAAATGGAGGAGGACCCAGATGATGTCCCGCATGGCCATATCACCTCACTGGCCGTGAAGCGTTCACACCGCCGCCTCGGCCTGGCCCAGAAGCTGATGGACCAGGCCTCCAGGGCCATGATAGAGAACTTTAACGCCAAATACGTGTCTCTGCATGTCAGGAAGAGTAACCGGGCAGCCTTGCACCTCTATTCTAACACCCTCAACTTTCAGATTAGTGAGGTGGAACCTAAATACTATGCAGATGGGGAAGATGCTTATGCTATGAAGCGGGATCTCTCGCAGATGGCAGATGAGCTGAGACGACAAGTGGACCTGAAGAAGGGTGGGTATGTGGTCCTGGGCTCCAGGGAGAACCAGGAGACCCAGGGCAGCACACTTTGTGGTTCTGAAGAGGCCTGTCAGCAAAAGAACCCGGATACCGAAGAAAGTGGCAGTGACAGCAAAGAACCTGAGGAGTCTGTGGAGAGCACCAACGTCCAAGACAGCTCAGAAGGCTCGGATTCCACCTCCTAGAGCATGCTTAAGGTATTCTGTCTTCCCTGACCTAGTACCTCCCTCTCCTAAATCCCTGCATCCATCCCCCCTTGGCCTGCCCAATTCCATCCTGTCTTATCCCATTCTGGCCCTGCGAGGTTTTACGGTAAAATCCACCTGGTGACCTTAGGGAGAAGTTAGAGTGAGTTGAGGGAGACTCATTGCACGCTGTTGAAAGTGAAATACGATACTAACTCATGCTGAAAGTAGATTAATTTCAATGAAGAAACAAGCATTTATCCCGCTTTCTGGGCATGAGTTGTATTTCAGGGTAATCACGTAGTTGATGGAAGGCATTTTTTTCTTTGTGGAATTCCAGTTAGTAATAATGATAGAAATATAAAATCATCATTTTGCAACTCTTGATGAAATAATGGACCCAGCCAAGAGTCATCAGTGGCTAATAGCGTTAGATAAAAGTTGGAGCACTTTGTAGTGATGGATCAGACTGACAATACTTGAACTCAGTGTAGTCCGTCTTCACTAAATGTGGAGACAAATACTTGTCTCCTTATGCAACAGGAAGTGCACAGTACTACCTATGAAATATTCTTGCCAAAAGAAAATTATGAGATCTAACTACCATTTTACAGAAAATAGAGGGACTTGTTAAACTATACCATGATGCAAACCGTCAAATCCAGAATTAGAGGTTTTTACAAAACAAATGACCTGGTTTCTTCAACAAATAAATGGCACTGAAAAAAAAAAAAGGATGAAACATTTTCTATTAAACTTTACAGATACGTTAACTAAACTCAACTGTTATGGACATTGTTTGGATACTGATTCAAACAAACCATGTATAAGACATTTTTGAGATAATCAGGCAAAATTTGAACAGGGATTGTATTCTAGTAAGGAATTATTAATAATTTTATTAGAGGAGCTAAATGGTATTGTATTATTATGTTTAGAAAGTCCTTATCTGTTAGAGATACATACAAAAAAAATTATAGCTGAAAGACTGGGATGCCTTGGATTTCCTTTAAAATAGTCTAGCAAAAAAGAACAAGATTGGAAGAGGGAAAATGAAATAAGAATGGCAGTTATTGTTGGGTTGGGAAATGGGTACTTAGGGGCTTCCTTGTGCCATTTACCCTTTTGAATGTGTGGAAATTAACATGAAAAGTTAAAGAGCCAAAACTTTTTTTTTTGAGACAGAGTCTCGCTCTGTCACCCAGGCCGGAGTGCAGTGGTGCGATCTCGGCTCACTGCAACCTCTGCCTCCTGGGTTCAAGCGATTCTCCTGGCTCAGCCTCCCAAGTAGCTGGGACTCCAGAAGCCCGCCACCTCGCCCGGCTAATTTTTTTTTTTTTTTTTTTGAGATGGAGTCTCGCTCTGTCGTCCAGGCTGGAGTGCAGTGGCGCTATCTTGGCTCACTGCAAGCTCCGCCTCCCGGGTTCACACCATTCTCCTGCCCCAGCCTCTGGTGTAGCTGGGACTACAGGCACCCGCCACCAAGCCCGGCTAATTGTTTGTATTTTTAGTAGAGACGGGGTTTCACTGTGTCTTAGCCAGAATGGTCTCGATCTCCTGACCTCGTGATCCACCCGTCTTGGCCTCCCAAAGTGCTGGGAATACAGGCATGAGCCACCGCGCCCAGCCTAATTTTTGTATTTTTAGTAGAGACGGGGTTTCAGCATATTGGCCAGGCTGGTCTCGAACTCCTGCCCTTGTGATCTCCCCGCCTCAGCCTCCCAAAGTGCTGCGATTACAGACGTGAGCCACCGCGCCCAGCTCTTGTACTTCTTAATACACACTTATGCTAATACTAAAAAACCACTAAAACTGAAGTTTTAAAGGATTGGTATGTTAGAAACAACTTAATTGTAGTAATATAATACTACAGTATTTCTTCCAGCAAAGAACTTTGTATCACCTTAGGATTTTCTAGGGTCAGTGAGCTATTGGCAGTTTACAGGCTTTAATATCTTAATCTAGTCACCTTACCCTTACATAGTGTGAAAGGCAGCAACTTTCTCATGGCAAAATCTCGTCATAAATAGTGTATTCTGTATATAATTTCAATGCGTGCTATTTGATTAGTCATTCATAATATTTATTTGTCAGGCATTAGGCTTGGCGCTGAGTTTTTTTCAGTGATCAGAACAGACTGACGTTTATATAGCATGTGAGAATAAATGGACTTTTTTTTGCATTTTAATGGCAAAACCCAAACTATAGCACACTAATCCCATTTTATTTTCATTCAGTTACAGTTCAATAGGTTATAAAAATTTAGATACAGTAAGTCTTTGGTAATTAGAAAGAACCTGTCCTCAGAGGAGGTTTTGCATTTGACTTTTAATAACCTGAAAGTTTCACAATGACTGATTCATTTGTTCTAATGCTAAAATAAAGGCAGCAGAACAGTCTAAAAGAAAAGATGAAATTAAACAAAACTTGATGCCTTGAGAAAGCGTTGTCAAATTTACACCTGGCTTGTTAACCCTGGAAGGTTCTATCAAGACTCTTTGAATCAACAAACCGTTTTAAAAAAATTTCAACTTTCAAATTCCTTCATAGGACTTACACAGTATTGATCTCATCTTTATAGTTACTTGCTTCTCTTCAGTGTTAAACTCTAGCTGAGAACAGAGCTAATCAGAGGTGGTTTTAAAACCATGTATGTATATACATATTTTATATATATAAAGCCATATATATAAAACCATATATATATGTATTATGTACACACATACACCTATAAAACTTTGATGAATTCAAAAGCACTTAACATCTGCTATGAGAAACAAAAATAATTGCCACTCTAGTAAGAGAGAAATAATAAATAAGAAAATTCATTGTTCTGTCACAGTTATAAATTTCAGCATACAAATTCAAGAATAATCGAACTGTTTCTTTATGATACTGTAATTGAACTTTATTTCTAAGTTGAAGGAAATGTTTCCTGGACTGAACTTCACCCTCTTTCTGAGTTGTTATCTGCTGAGACATATTCAGTGGCTGCATCCAATCTTTGATCTTCAGGATTCACTTCTGGGTCTTTTCCAGCCAGAGGTCTCTTACCATTTTGGTAGCAAGGGTGTATGAGTATTAGTCTGCACAGGCTAACTGGTCTAAAAATTAACTTCCAAGTCTCAATAACTTAACCCAGTAAAAGCTTATTTGTCACATCATAGTACAATGTGGGTCATCAGTGTGATGGCGATGTGGAGTGGAGGGAAAAGATGGACCCTACTCCATGGAATCATTCAGGGATCCATTTAGAACAGGGATTCTTAATTTTCTGTAGCTCCCTTTGGTAATCTGGTGAAGCAGAAAAATGTTTTTAAAAGATGTAAAAATTACATCAAATTACAAAGGAAAACAATTATTGATATACAGTTATCAAACTTTTAAAAATATTTTTGTTGTAATATATGTGGTTTTTGTTGGCATATTGAATAGCCTAGTAACTATTATTTCAAAGTAAATTTTAGTATAAATGATATTTAAGATATCTTAAGTATAATGTGATATGAAAATACCTATGATTTTTATTGATTCCTATGTTCATAATTTAAAGAATTGCCAGACTTCAGTTAGAAGTTGATGCAAATTGCAGAGTTGTTTTTGTTCCATATTCAAGGTCCTAGTTCTCCTACATTTTATTAAATAGATCCCAGGTTAAGAACTCCTAATTCAATGACTCTTGTCATTTTTCTAGAATCATAAGACCTTCAACTGGTTCATATACATTCAACTAGCAGATGAGAGAAGAGAATGTATATAGTGGTTCATAAAGGTTTTAAAAGTCAAGTCTTACCCAACTAACTGCAGGGGAGGCTATGATACTTAGTTTAGCTTTGTGCTCAGGAAAGAAAAGGAGTTCAGTAACAACACAGCATAGTATCTGCCACAATAGGAAACATCCTAGTGGTGCTCTGGACTATGAGAAGTTTTGCTTTCATGCCTGGTTAGGGGCATGGGATCATACAGCTGCTCTCACTCCATGACATGGCCCAGGGAACTCTGTTAGGCTGTCTGAGGTTGTCTACATAAACGCCTGACATATATTTCTTCTGCTGTTTCACAAACGGGCATGGAAAACGATGGGATTCTGTTTTCTTGCTGCCAATATGCCTCTAATTAAAACCTGGAACAAATGACCCCTCTCCTCTGAAGTCCCCCAAACTGTGTAAATCTTCACTTCCATCCCATTTAATGGGGATTCACCAGCACATAGGTCTAGCTCTCTGAATGGGGAAGGGCTACAGTGAAGAAAGAAAGAGCAGGAAAAACATTTAAGAGGCTCATACTGCAAAAGTACTATCCTTCTATAATTGTGGTGCTCCCTCCTGTGGAGCTGGAGTTCAAATACCTATAGAAAAATGTCCTAAAAAATATTTTTCATTTTCTCTCTCTGTACTTTTGGATTTGGGAACAGAGACAGAGTTAGAAGTGGTGCTGAGCAGGACAGTTGGTGAAGAACTGGTTGATTTCATCTGAAAAATTGTAACAAAAATTACTGTTAACCCTATGAAAAGGCACTGTTTTGCAGGTATTAATTCTAAGCACTGTTAATGATGTGTTTCATTTATTCCTCATAATAATCCTGTGAGGTAGGTACTATTACTCCCTTTTGTGGTTAAGGAAATCATATCACAAAGAGGGCTGTATGTTACACAGATAGTGGAAAACAAGGATGCAAACTCAGGTGGTCAGACTCCATGATTGAGAGGATTAAATGAGTCAATCTGTGTAAATTGCTAAGCACAACTCACACACAGTAAAATAGTCCATAAATTTTAGCTCTTAATATAATCGATAGTAAGAGTAACTTTTCAGGTTCTCCTCTTCTTCACGGTAATCAAATAATAAAATGTTGTGTATGAGCAGCAACAGTTTGCAATCTTGGAAGGGAAATGCATCTTAATGATTAAAATAGCTTTCACTGACAAGCTAAATGTCAAAGCATTCAACTGAATCAACACTCGTCAATGGCAGAGTTTCTAGGGAGCCATAGCAATGAAGACAGGTCAGTTCAAAACATGCTGGTTGAGGCAGGAATGTCATCAAACTGCTGTTTGTCTCCTGACAAGAAATATGTGGTTGATGATTAATAACAAAAATGAAAAAAATGCAAAATCTTAGCGTTTTCAATTGAGCTGACAACATTGAGTTAAGTAAGGTTACTTCAGTGACTCTCCCTTTCTGGTTTATTGTTTGTGTTGCTAAACTGTCATTTTAACAAAAAGTAGTTAAATGTTCACATGAGCATTCACTGAAATAGACTGTTCTTAATTTTATCAGACAACTAATTATAACTGTAATGATATAATGAAATACGGAAGAAACCTACAGACTGACAGGTCTGGTAAATTCCTAGTATAACCTTACCCCAGATATGCCAAAAACCATAGATTTCAAATGCAACTGCACTCTATGAAGATAAAGAGGGTTTGGGAAGTGATAAAATATTGTTTTGAAATACTAATCAGATAGATGCCATTTGTTGAATTATTTATAATCTCTAACAATGTCACCTTTCAATCAGTGTATGATGACTGAAATGTAGGATATAGGATGACTGAAATACTAACTTTTTCAGAAGTAACTGATAAAAGCAGAGGTTTTTCCTAAATTTTGTACTCTCTGCTCTAGTGTATGAAATCTAATGAACTTTATGGTACAGGAGGTTAGATAGAATATTTAAAATTCTTTGAATGGGCAATGATTCAAAGAGCCAGCATAAAAGCCTTTCTGAAAATACTCTACAATGCCATTTCTATAGATAAATATCGTTAGAAAAGTATAGGATTTTTTTTAAAGTAAAGCCATAGTATTCTCTTTCATGTTTATAACACCATATCGACAAATAGCATGTATTTGTCAGGCTTCCCTAGCCCACCTTTAAGAAAACCTGATAATGTAAAACTTTGAACTTAATAAGCTAAGACATTGAGGACTTGGGCTGGGCACAGTGGCTCATGCCTGTAATCCCAGCACTTTTGGAGGCCAAGGTGAGAGCATTACCTGAGGCCAGGAGTTCAAGACCAGCCTTGAAAATATAGCAAGACCTGATCTGTACAAAAACTGAAAAAAATTAGCCAGCATGGTGGTGTATGGTGGTGAGTGCTTGTAGTCCTAGCTACTCAGGAGGCTGAGGCTGGTGGATCACTTGTGCCCAGGAGTTTGAGGCTCCTGTGAGCCATGATTGCACCACTGTGCTCCAGTCTGGGTGACTGAGCAAGACCCTGTCTCAAAAAAAGGACTATAACACTAACATTTTAAAGGGAATCTTTATGAAAAATACCTATACTCTTAAACAACAAAATATCCTATAGCCTTTATTACAGTGTTACTTGACTTCTTCAGTTTAATTTCTTAAAATTTTCAAGCAGTATTTACTGAGATAACTAAAACAGCTATATAATGTTTTTATATAACTTCTTTTGCATGCCTGTATTAAAACGAAAAAGGCAATGATGATAGTCTTTCTGGCCTATTCTTCCATATCTTGTATCTCTTTTGTTATAACAAATATACTTTAAAAAATAAGATTTTACATAATATTACCTCTTGCAACTGGCTTCACTTGTTATTCTGGCAACAGAATTTTCTATAACAATGATTCTGTACAAAAATGCTTTTTAACTGCTCTGTGCATAATAGTCAACCTCAGTCTCATTTACTTCTGTGTATATGATAGATGGGAAGGTACTCTTTTTTTCTTTATTGAATGAATGAATGAATGGATCTTTCAAATTATCCATATAATAATTTTTTTAAAGGAGAGAAAAATAATGTATGTATGATACTACTTCCTTTTTTTTGATGTAATTAGGGTACTTTAATTTGTGAATAAAGAAACATAATGTTATTTTGGTTTCCTGTCCAGGTCTCACAGAAAGAAAATATGACTTATAGAGTAGGACACATTGCATCTAACTTATCAAGAGCTAAAAAGGCCTTTCATTTCTTTAGAATTGGAATAAATTTTCTTTGGAGTGAGTAGAATGGGAGAGAATTTAAAGATGACAAGGAAAATTATCTCAGTTTCTTTATTTTAAAATAGGTTCTTTGGTGGTAAATCCCAGTTTTTTGGTGTTCTTTCCGTCCCTTTCTCCTGGCAGAAACATCCTGTAGATGTCAGGAAAGGTTCATGTGTTCTTACGGCAGGGAGGAGAGAGAGCCCCAGATCTGTGTGTGGCCTTTGTGCGGTCATCTGAATTCTCACTGACTTCCATGGAGTTATATCTAGTCCAAACTAGTTACTGAGTTACTTTATCTGCTACTTCAGTCTGTCATTAACTAAACCAGTATTCTTTCAGACTTGTCAGAGCTTATAGCTCTCCCTTTCTCATTTGTTTTCTTCTCATTTTTCAACAGCATTGCAGGTCCTCATGTCTCAACCACATCTACCCTGTGAACCCTGGCTTAGTCTGTCTGCTCTGCAGCATCTGCTGTGGGGATCATCTCACAGTGACCAAAATGGCTTCTTACTCTCAACTCTAAACAACCACCTTTCACGTATCCTGCTGGGATCATGAAGGAATACCTGGACACAAGAGCTGCTGCACAACAGCCAACGAAGTTTGAGACCTGCCATTACAGAACCTTTCTTGGCCTACTCACACCGTGCTGCCGTTTTATTCTGTTTGTAGTAGTCCTCTGTTGGGTGTGGTTATCCTGCAAGTTTTTCTCCTTTTAGAATGATGAACAGGAAGCAGGGCAAACTCTTAAAGCTTTCCAGCTTTCAGTTTTTTTTTTTCGTTTTTTTTTTTTTTAACCATTATTTACCTGGGTTTTCATCCATATTTTTTTGCCATTATTTTACCTGAGTTTTTTCATCCTTGAGGAGATGAGGTAGTCAGGACCATGAAGTCAGACCTTATGCCCCTTTCCTCCTCTTTCCTGGAAGAAGTATTCTGTTTCTTTTTCCTTTTTTTGAGGAGGGCATCACCTTCCCAGTGGGAAAAGGTGTTAAGTTAGGGGCTTCTACTGTACAATCAGAACTTGGAGATTTTTTTTTTAGGACAAACGGTAATTAAATTGGAATCTCTAATATGCTTGTTCGTGTTAGTTTTTTTGGGATGATGTCACTTGGCATTTATTGAGTACCTGCAGTGTTCACACACAATGCCAGGGCCTTCATTAGTAATATATTTAACCCTTTAACCCTCTCAGCAACCCTGTAAAGTAGGTATTATTATCCCTGTTTTACATATGAGGGAACTGAAGCTCAGAGAAGTGAATTAAATATCCAGGATCTGAACCCAATTCTGTTTGATTTCAAAGCCAAAGTTCCTTCTACTTTCCTGTTCCTACTCTTTGAATTTTATTTATGAATGTGTTAAAATTTTAGCAAAAATGGAGAATCTGCTGTTTAAAAATGTGTTTGCTTAATACATGCCTACTGTATGTTAATTGTGAATATATAACCTACAATTATAATCTACTTTTATTATTTTTCTCTAGTAAAAATAAGTGAAGAAGACAAAGTACTTTGACCTCTGCAATAAAAGTCACCAGATAAATCCAGAGTTATCATTACTTAATGTTGTTTTTATGTTCACTGAATGTGAATTACCAAAGTATATAACATTTTTCATGTTTAAACTTTTATGAAAACTGTTGTGTATGGATTTAAGTCAAAGCCTGGACTTTATCTGGTGACAAGAGGTAAGTCTTTTCTGTGTAATCATCATTAGCCCTGCTAAGCACTTCTTACAGATCTCCCCCACTGCACTCTAAGAATGTCTACCTAATGGTAAATGATTGCCTGAGGCAGATATAAAAGTTTTTCCCTACATGAAAGGATTTACCATTTCTTGTGCTAATACAGTATGATACAGTCTATCTTTCCATCTTTTCCTTTTTCTTTTTAATTTTCTATGTCCATGCTAAATTATTTTATTCTTTCCTCTCAACCATGTGTTTATCTCTTTATTTTTAAATATTACAACCTTCTAACATCTGTCTCCAGGGCAGCATAATCTTACTGATGAAATTTTCCATGTTTTCCTTGAGCTTTTGTCAATATGTCTTTGTGTTAACAGCTTAGCAGATGGAGAAACAGAAGGAGCAGCCTCAGCTTACCTGAATGATTTTTCTCCAGCACCAGGCACATTGACTTGCTGTCTCTAGTAACTTGATAAGAGTTGGAGCAATTGGCAAATGAGAAATGATATATGACTTCTGCAGTGTTATTTACTAAAATAATTGGCTGCATTTCTTTGTTATCATTATATCTTCTTTCCCAGTCTCGTACCAGGAGAAAGCAGAATTATAGCACTGTCTGGTTTGGGCTATCCCTGTTTAGATAATAAAAATAAACAATAATACTAACATTGCTTTGGGCATAGATTAGCATGTTCATGATGGTTCCAGGATAGTAGTAGTGATTTAGCAGCAGCAGTGGCTTTTTGAAACACAAATTGTGGGAGCGTGTGGCACCATTTTTTTCGTAATAGCGTTGTTCTTTTTACACAGGAAAAGAGTTTTTCTTTTTTTATTCTGAATGGACTACGTTTTACTGAAGCACAGTCCTAGAGAGAGCAAAGCAAGGCTTTGAAGCAAGGAGGGAAGATAGTAATGGTGTGAATACCCTGGTACTAGCTATATTTTATTCACTTGCAGCTTTAAATAAACTGGATGTGCTCAGGTCTGCTAGCAGATTATTTAAAGATAATGATCAGGACGCTAAGTTTTCTTTGGTTAAAAGAAGAAAACTTGTGAATGAAGCCTGTGAGTTCCTAGTTAGAGTCTGTGTGGGTTTCCCTTTGGAGATAAGAGCAAGAGGCAAGAGATGACCATCTGAAATAAAAATAATGGGATGTGTGGATATATGGGAGAAATGGGGACTAGTAGTGGGAATTAGTCCAAAGCCAGGAAAATTTAGAATGGATCCGGACTGAAACACTGGAAGGAAAGTTTTCTTCATTTTTTATGTGCAGCTAAGTCATTTGGGTATTATGTTAAAAATGCAGACTCTTTTTCAGTATGTCTGGTGGGGCCTGAGTATCTGCATTTCTAACTAGTTCCTACATTGCTCATGTTGCTGGTCCAGGAACCACACTTTGACTAGTAAGGGTCTTAAAGCTCATCTCCAACTCTTAGACTGGGGTCCAAAACACCTGTGACTATCCATTAGGTCATTTTATAATGGATTAGACCCTAAATAATTCAGATTCCCCATCTTAAATACACATTTACATAAATCCTGTTTGTCTTTGAGATTGTGTCTTGATGGCCTAATAATTTCAATGAAAAGTTCATTAAAAATCTATACAACAAAAAAGTGTGTGTGTGTGTGTGTGTGTATATATATATATATATAAAATGTATCGATAATCAACATTTTATCTGTTAGGATGCTTTGATATAACAATTTTGCCTCATTGGCTTCTAGGCAAGTATAACAATTTTGCCTCATTGGCTTCTAGGCAAGTGAATGGTGTATGAGATTTTTAAAAATTTCACTTCTAACTCTCACTCAATTTATTGTGTTCATTGGTTGGTAAATTAGCTCAGACACAAATTGTTTTCCATGCTGACATTTGACAGGATTTGAAAAAGACTACTGAGTCTTTTTTTTTAATTTTAAGGAGTAGCAGACCTATGTGTGGGTTCAGGTGGTCTAATAGAGATTTTCCATCCAGGGATAAGAATTTCTAGCCCATTGTTTCTCAAAGTATAGTTCATATGCTTATTTATTCAGAATCACCTGGGAGCTATGTTAAAAATGCAGTTTCTTTGTCTCTGGCTCAGACTTACAAAATCAGTCCTGTATTTTTAACAACCCTGCAGGTGATTGTTTTGCACACTGTCATCTGAAAATCGTTTTGCACACTGTCATCTGAAAATCACTGATCAGTATAACGCATTGAATTCTTCATAAAGGTAATATGAAGGGAGCTTTTTTCCATGGTAATACTCTCCAGACAAATTAATTCATCAAAAGAAGCAAATAATTCAGAGCAGATATAACAAATTTTTATTATAAAACATGGGAAAGGGTGAGGTGGTATATGGTAACTGTTCACTTTCTGTAAACTTAAAACTGTTCTAAAAATAATTTATAAATTAAAAATATTTTTAACTTACATAAATGTGAATATTTGACACACATTTTTCCATAAGTATTTTACAGAAATGTGAGATCATGTGTGTTATTTTTTGGGCTTTTTTGGTCATTACTTTCCTCCTCATCCTTTCTTTTCAAGCAAACCATAGCTACAACTTGGCAATGGCGGTATACAGCAAAAGCCTGAAGGATGAGAACATTCACAAATGACACCATGAAATTTGTCCCCATTTGTTTCCGGAACACAAATCTCAAATACTGCAGTGTCTTATTAGGAACCAGACACCTAGCATGTCTGGAACCACATGTCCTTCCATGCATGTCATTAGCTTCTCATATCCCATCACCATCTGGGCATCTTGAGTTAGAACTTTTAAGAACACAGTACCCAGCCAAAATCCAATGAAACAGACTAAGTGACTTATCAAGATCCTTTTTCATATTAATACTTTTTCCTAGACATGAATGCTTCTTTTGAAATCTAGAAAGACACAGATCATTTCCTTGAGGTGCACTTGAAGGGTTATAAAAAAAACATGTTTCCTTATTAGGGCATGGGAATTACATTTTGTGAAGTTCTGGGGAAAAAAAATCTTTTCATTTTAAATCATACATATATTGCTTTCCTAACCAAAATTAAGATACATTTCACACCTTTGGAATATTGTCATCACCTCAACTGCATTTTATGGAAGCTTACCTAGAGAACACAGTCTTTAGCAAGTTGAGCGATTTTCACAAGTGGTGGTTCAATAGAGTGAGAAATCACAGAGTGAGGAGTCTAACAGCTGAAATTTTAGTCCTAGTTTGGCTTATTACCACCTGGATGTCCTCTGGCACATCAGTTTTCTCATTTACAAAATAGAGATAAAAACTTTTGTGCTTTTAGGGTTATTGTGTAATGAGTTAGTGTAAAAAACAACTGCATTGTAATTTGTAAAAAGAAAAATGTTACTGTGAACATGTTTACTTTTTAGACATTTTTACCCCTCAATTTAAACTGGTATAGAGTAACAGTGATCTTTTTTTGTTTCCTCTGTAATGGTCCAGGAAAGAACCAGTGTTTCAGAGAATTTATCATCAAACAATAACTGTGTCAAGCAATGACAAATATATGCATGTATGTGGATATTTTAAGGGATAAAATACGGAGAAGGTGAATTCCTGTAAATATAGCAGGCCAACTTTCTATACATTCATTAAAAAGAAAAGACTCAATAAAAGTTATCTTTTACTCTCTATGACCTAAGCATTCATATGTAATATATTTTTCATGTAAAGCAAAGTGTACTTAATCTCCTATTTACATGGTTTTGAATAAAAGAAATTCACACACACACACATACAGTGACCAAAATTTTTACATATTCAAAAACTAGTAAACTGGCCGCGTCTGGCGCCTCATGCCTGTAATCCCAACTAATCAGGAGGTGATGTGGGAGGATCCCTTGAGGCCAGGTGTTTGAGATCAGCTGGGGCAGCTAAGCAAGACCCCAACTCTTTTTTGTTTTATGAGATGGAGTCTTGCTCTGCCACACCCAGGCTGGAGTCCAGTGGCACAGTCTCGGCTCACTGCAACCTCCACCTCCCAGGTTAATTCTCCTGCCTCAACCTCCTGAGTAGCTGGAT